TCATGGGGAACATCATCCCAATCGGTGTATTGCTCACCATCATGCGCTGGCTTTGATTTCTGCTGCCGCAGTATACGAAGGATCAGTGAGTTGAAGATTGCAGACGGCGTGTTGGGCAGGCGATGGCTGTGTCGGTAGAGGCTGCAGATTGCTTTGGCGAAAAACGGTGTGCGCATCATTGTGGCCAGCTCTGGGTTGCTGCGAAGCTCAGCTAGCAACTTGGCTGCATCGTCTGCCGACAGAACATTGCAAATGTAGTGCTCCAAACCCTCCTTCTCGAAGCCCAGCAGCTCCAGACGACGATGGAAGACTATCTCGCTGCTTTGTGTCAGCTTCATTGCTTCTGCTGAATGGCGTGACGTGATGATCAGGTTGATTCCCGGCAATTCTTTGCCCCGGATGACGTCGATCATGAACTTGCTGCAGTCGGCGAGCTTTATCTCATCGAGGCCGTCGAGAATGATGCAGACAGACTCAGGATGATTGCAAACAAAATCAATGACTTCAGCCTGCTCACCTGGTTTTGTGATGCCGTAATTTTGTAAATCCAGCAGCTCAGCGATGCTCGTGATATTGCGCACTTCTGCCAAACGCAGCTCCAGTGCACGCAGGACAGCGATGTGTGGCCAGATATGCCCTCTTGCCCATTCATACGGACCTTTCTTGGTGAAGAGCATGGTTTTGCCAGCTCCAGCTGATGAGAAGGCAATGGTACGGAAAGTCTTCCCGTGCATGCGTTTTCGCATGGCTTTCTTGACAGTGAGGATTTCGGCAAGTTTCATCTTGCGCAGCTTCCTAGCTTCAGACGCAAAGGAATGAGCCAGCTGCTCATTGCCCGCAGTTGTGCCAAGTCTCTCTGCTTCACGCATCCTAGTGTTTAACTTCTGCTTGGACACTACATGGAGATCAGCATAAAGCTCGTCCATTTGCAAGATTCGTTCCTTCTCAACATTGGTCTCTTCTATGCAAAACTGCACATTGCTGTAAGCCGCACACAGACGGTCACGATATTTCTTCACTGGAGCAGGAAGTGAGCTTGCTCGTGCCCCCATGCTACAGATACACAGTAGGGAAAGGCAATAGCTACACTAGAACAGGCACTGGTTACTAGTAGAGCAAGCTAGAGAGATGAGCTACAGGTAGCGTAGCTGTAAGCACACTGTATGATTAGCTACAGGTACAGGTAGCTGTAAGCACACTGTATGATCAGCTACAGGTACAGGCGTAGCTGTAACCACACTGTATGATCAGCTACAGGTACAGGCGTAGCTGTAACCACACTGTATGATCAGCTACAGGTACAGGCGTAGCTGTAAGCACACTGTATGATTAGCTACAGGTACAGGCGTAGCTGTAACCACACTGTATGATCAGCTACAGGTACAGGCGTAGCTGTAAGCACACTGTATGATTAGCTGCTGTTTAGAGATTTTCTCTTGTACTTGTGTGGTGTATATCTTACATGTATAGTCAGTACAGGTCATTCATACCTACCCCGGGTACCCGTACACTTCACTTTACACACACTGGCAACAACAGTCAGCAGCAGTAGCTACTATTCTACGGTATGAGTACAAGAACTGTATGTGAGAGTTGTAGTTTGATATCTGTGTCTACATGTATTGTAGCAGGTCTCCCTCACACATAATATCTACATGTTGTAGTCAAGTATGTTCCCTGTGTACGTGTGCTACTTTAATGCATAGTAGAATTCTATTGAGAGAGAGAGAGAGAGCGAGAGAGAGAGAGAGAGAGAGAGAGAGAGAGCTGCCACTGCATCCTGCTGCTGCTGCTGCTGCTGGTTCATTATGCTCTGTAATAAAGTTTGACAGTCGGATATCACAGACAAGTGCTGGTACTTAAGGCACTTGTGCTTGTTAACATTCTACTGCACGCATATGCACAATATCAGTGGCAGTACTGAGTAGCAACAGCAGCACATTGGGAAACACAGTCCCCTTCTGTTTGCAAGCTGCAGGATGTGTACAATACACGCCATTGCCGAGCCACCGTGCTCACAGCAGAGACTTCTGTGTGTGTTATTGTTGTGAAGTGGACCACAAAGACTCACCTGTGTCTCAGTCATTATCATACGGTATAGACCCCTTTCCGGATCGCCGCGAATCTCTATGGTTACCGAGAAATTCAAACTTTGGTGGGCAAGAAGAACCACTCTACTAATTAGTTACTTTGTCTTTTTAGTTGGTTGGATCTATTTTGTCGTCCTTTCCTTTTAGTTTCAGCCATGGTGCAGACCTGTGCCGTCATAGGATGCACAAATAGGTATACGCGTGGCTGTGGAGGTGGTTTCCACCGATTTCCAACAAATCCCAAGCGCAGGGGACTCTGGATTGCTGCAATTCGCCGTAAAGAAGCTGATGGATCGCCCTGGACACCAGACACTGACGAGCGAGTCTGCAAGAAGCATTTTGTTCTTGGCAATCCGAATGCAAAGGAAGCAAAGGATGACGAGTCCCATCCTGACTATGTGCCGTCCTTGAAGCTCGGTTATGACTCCGCGAACCCTGAAACAGCTACGTCAAAAATCGATCGTTCTGTCCGACGTGAGAAGTTTACTGAGCTGAGGAAAAAGAAATTGGCTGATGCTGCAAGGCTGAAGCAGAAAGAAGAGGCAAGGAAGGCAAGCCAACGACATGGTGTTTCTCATGACCACTCGTACTTCGCCAAACTTCAACTGTCCTCTCCTATTTTCAAGGTAAGAAAAAACTTCTGACTGATTCTGTACGTTGAGTAATTCAAAATTTAGTTGTTTGTACGTTATGAATTTCATACGTTGCAATCAGCTTGTGCCCCTGATGCATCGATGTTGTACGATGCTGGAAGGTCCCCTTCTTGGAAAGGCCATGCACACTCCATTGGCCAGGCCAGAAAGACGTTATTCTTCAGATGCATTTTGAAATTTCTCTTTCTAGATGATGGTGTCTGGAAGAATTAAATTATTTTTTCGAGAATCATAAAGTGTAGGTGTATGTCTACTTGTTTGTTGCTCAGAACTCAACCGGGATGTCCAGTCTTCTGAATCTTGAAGTGCCAACTATTGCTCCTATCAAGGTGTCTACAGGTAAGGTGTCTGCTGTCTTGGCCTTCAAGTAGTGTCATATCTGTGATTGGTTTCAACTCTTGTCGCATGTGTACAGTAGTGAGTGAAAATGCTGCGGGTCCCATATTGGTTCAATAATTATTGTACGTTTCTAAGATGTCCTGACCTTGTGTAATATCGGTAGATTGTTTCTGATCCCTGTTCTTTGAATTGCACCTGGACGTCATGGACGAAACGTACCTAATCTTCTCCATTGCATCACTCCCATTTGGAGGGTTAGATGTTATGTGCCGGTACTGTGATCTCACTTGTCCCTGGTCAATTGTGACGTGATTTGTGTTATCTTTCTCTTCCATGTTCTACAGCATGTGGACCTGATGAACCCTACACCTCGGACACTGATCGTTTGGAAGAGGAATGCAAGAAGTTGAGGGCGGAAGTTGAACGGCTAAAGCGGCGTTGCGGGGAACTAGAGACTGGGCTTTCGAAGGCACAGTTTGGTGTGCACTGGATTGACGAGTCTGATGAGAAGTGTCGCTTCCTCACTGGTCTGCCGAACCGCTCCGTGTTCCATGCTGTCTTAGGTCATGTGCAGGAGAAGGCCGCAAAGCTCACTGCCTGGCGCGGTGATTCCACCAGTGACCCCAAGGACAACAAGCCTGGCCCTCGGATGACCAAGGACTTGTCCATTGCCAACCAGTTCTTTGCGACGCTTGTCCGGTTGCGCCATGGTATGTGTGGCGGGTTTGTGGCAGCCCTGATGCAAATGCCTGACTCCACGTTCAGCAGGATGTACTCCACGTGGATTCTGTTTCTGTCCCGTGAGCTGTCTCTCCTCTTCCCGTTCCCGTCCAGACAACTTGTGGACAAGTTCATGCCACCGTGCTTTAAGTCCAAGTTTCCGCAGACGAGGATTATCATTGACTGTTTGGAGATCCAGATGGAGCGCCCAACTTCTCTCCTGAACCAGTCGATCACTTACTCCAGCTACAAGAGCCGGAACACCATGAAGATTCTTGTAGGTGTTTCACCTGCTGGTCTTGTGACTTTTGTGTCGGATGTTTGGGGTGGCCGAGTCAGTGACAAGGTCATCACAGAGCAGAGCGGTCTGTTGCAGCTTCTGGAGAAGGGTGACAGTGTCATGGCTGACAAGGGCTTTGACATCGAGGTGCCTCTTGCTCTCCATGGAGTGAAACTGAACATCCCGCCAAAGCTCGGTGCTGATAGCCAGATGAGCGCCCAGAAGATCGAGAAGACCCGCCGCATTGCAGAGCTGCGTATCCATGTCGAACGGGCTATCGGACGTGCACGTTGCTACCGTGTCCTCAACACTGTGTTCCCTGTGAGCATGTCGAGTCTGTCGTCTCACATCGTGAAAGTGTGCTTCTTCCTCACAAACTTCGACGCCCCGCTAGTAAATTGAAGAGACATGTGAATCACTATATTCAAGTTCTATCTTCTTTTGTTCTCTTTATTATGGTCTATTTTTCAGCACACTATAATAATAATAATAACCACTCTTATTTTACTTCGGTTTCTCCAACAGACGATTCGTCTTATTACTGGAGCCCGAAGGGAGGTGCACAGTTAGAATCATTTTTCTGAACATATCAGAGCAGGATCGGAGCTGGATTCGCACGCTATCTTCACATGTAATGTAAATACAAAGTACGGCTACATGGCGCGGCGGAAGCACAGTGCTCCGGTCAAGTAAAGGTCTCTGGTTCGAAGTAATATTTTCTGGAAGTGCCATAGCTTGTGAATATGAACGTACCAACTGCTGCTAGGTCACTGGCTGCGTGCGTGTTGTTTGTGGGGTTGTGATGTGATAAAGAGTGCATTGTCTCCACTCCCCACCGCATGGCAGGCGGCAAAGTGGAAATGGTGGCGTATGCCACGATCAAGCAAAGGTCTCTGGTTCAAAATACTATTTTGTGTAATTCCCAAAGCTTGTGAATATGAACATACCAAATGCTGCCAGGTCACTGGCTGGGTGCATGTTATTTGTGGGGTTGGGATGTGATAAAGAGTGCACTGTCACCGCGATTGTCACCGAAGCAAGTTGGTACGGGCTACCAGAAGTAGCATAATATCCAGCCAATATTTATAATGACAGACAGGTACAAGGATGTGTGCGATGTCATCCATAGAATTCCGCACAATAACAGAAAAATCGATCGGAACCGCTATGTACAGAATTAAGTTTCAATGCTGGGAACATGAGAAGGTTCCGAGCATATCCCTCGCAGAAGATGGGGCATTGCTGTACAAAGTTCCAAAAAATCTAGCGAAGCAAAATAGATTGAAATCCCTATGTACAGAATATAAACACAAAAATATTTTTTCTTGTCATTCATGACTTGTACTTTGAAAGGTACAGCTTGTGAGAGCACAGCTCTGGGATAACAAACTGCTCGTAGAAGGATGTTAACTTCATGAGCATGGTTTGCCAATGAGCGTCATCGAACATGATACGCTCTACAAGCACGCCAGCACATGTGAACACCACAAAGTCACACCACTTCACATCCATGACCGCCATCTCACCAATCACCTGGTCATAGTACTTGTGATTCTTGCATAAGTGGGCTGACCCGTCCGCGTGGCATTCCAAGAATGACTTGCCAGGGAATTGCTGGGCGATCCGAGTTGGCGTGAGGTTAACAATAGATGTGCCCTGGATGGAGAAGGGGCATTTTATTTCCAGGCAGCCACGCTCCACCACGCCGCTCTCAAGCTCCTCCACAACGATTCCATCAGAACTCGCACCAATGAAGTGGTAGTCACGATGGAGGCTAAGACCACACTCTCTTACGGTGATGTTCTTTCCATCTTCGAGTGCCACACTGAGGTACATGTCCCTCGCCCTGGGCTCATTCTCCACTCCCCATCGCATGGCAGGTGGCAAAGCGGAAATGGTGGTGTATCCCATGATACCGGCCAGCAGCGAGACTGGCTCCTGGGCTCGAGAGCGAACGATGTCACCAAATCGTGAGCTAGTTAGGCGCCCATGACGTAGGTCGAACCACCACGAGTTATCTGTCTGGCCTTTGGTGAAGTCTTCCACTTCCTTTTGGGATACACCGTACTTGGACAGTGGTCCGGTATATCGACCAAGGGCATCTTCACTCGTTCCACCTGGAAGCCTGTCAGAATGGAACAGGACCAATGGCGAAAGGTCCTTGGGTTGGCTAACTGGAGTAGCAGCAAGTCCTGATGACTGGTCTTCGACTTCCCAGAAATGGAAGAACCCACAGTTCTTGGCTGATGCCTTTCCCGCTGCTAATGCCTCCTGCAAGGTGAGTGCGTCAGCAGATGTGACTTGGCGGTGTGACGGTGCACGGGGATCAAACTCCGCTCGCAGCTGCTTCCTCTCCACTTCATCATCAGTCATGCCATGGCAAGCTTTCACAAACTCCATATTGGCGAGTGGCTGAGGATCGACATGCTTCTTTGGAGGCTGATTCCAGCGCATAGGTTGTGACGTTTTAGACAACTCCACGGGTAGCTCCACTAGATTCCTTTTTGCAGCGGATTCAATGAAGAAGAGTAGGGCAGCAACATGATTGCACGCCTCTCCCAGCCTAACATAAACAACAACCGCACACGCACACCATGCACGGGAGACAACAAATATATGCCAACGTCAGATAGAGCTGTCAGAACTCATCACATCACAAACTTGTTGAACAAAGAAGTTATTATAACAATCATCTGCAAAATACATGTCACTACAAAGGAACTATCACAGCACAGGTAAGGAGGAAGAGTTATAATAGGATTTATCAGTGCCGCAGGTCAACTGTCACATTTGGACTGAAGAAAACACACCAACTCGTAGTGCGTTTCTGTGAAAACACTTACCCGGCAATACAGCTGCATTGCGCAGCGTAGACTTCACCAGTCTCAGTGTTCAACGACACATACACGGTGAGCGGTGTATCACACGACAAGGAATGGTGGACGTAAGCACGGAGATAGGAGATTGCCACACCGTTCTCCCCAGATGCAGGATATTGCTTGCTCCACACATTCTTCACAAAGCCATCGGCAAAAAATTGGTACGCCTTCAAAGACCTGTTGCCAACAAAATTTCCAAAGACACATTTGGAGAAAAGAGACAATATTAGGGATGTGCAATTCAGGGGTTCCCTAGCTGAATTCCTTCACTGATTAGACATTGATGGCAACTGATTCGAAAATGCTAGTTGACCTCAGTTACAGTAGGTCTTTCAACAAAACTTGACACACACTGACTTTGTCTTGAGAGATTACGAATTCAAACTGCCTACTATCACAACGTACCCACACCGCCCATGTTCATTACTCACCTAAATGCCTTCATGCTCTCCATATCAAACGTCTTGTCTCGTCCATAGACCAAGTACGTCAATAAATCCATGAAGTGGAACCGCACCACAGCAGCACGAAACTCCTTGCACCAGTCTTGCACCTCGTTGAAACGAGGCAACGAAGACAAAGTGCCCCGAACGTCTTGAGTTATATACTGCAGTCCAACGGAAGCACCAGAGGACGACGCATCAGCAGCACCAGCCAAACCAATCTTGGACATCGACACCAAGCGCTCCACGATGTCAGCCTTCTTTGTTGCTCCAGTCAACCGAACATCCAGAAATTTGGCAATTTCCTTCAGTTCGGCCACCTTCAGCGTCGCAAGAGAAGTCTGAACCCCAACAAAATCGGCATCGCTGGCTTCGGACCCTTTTGAAAGTTGTTCAGCAAGGACAGCCAGTGGCTGAGGCAAGGGTGGTGGCTGCTCAGCGGCAGCAGAGTCAGGGATGACAGCAGACATTGTTGCTTCCTGGTTGAAAAATTACTTTCACTGCAGTTTGGGCTGAACTTCTTGCCCACCAAACATTTTTGCACGTCACCCGTTGCCATGCAACGCGCACTGTGTTCTATCCGGAAAGGGGTCTATACACTAGGGCACTGGTCAGTGGGCACCGTACGTGAATGCAGCAGAAAATGGAATTCTTCATCAAGGATCACTTATCTTTCAAAGTTTGTGTTGGTGATTTGGTCTCTGCACTTTCCACTATAGTTTGTGATTTGCAGATCTGTTGTCTGCACTTTCCACTGCAGATCTCGTCTGTACTTTCCACTGCAGATCTGTTGTCTGCACTTTCCACTGCAGATCTGGTCTGCACTTTCCACTGCAGATCTGATCTGTACTATCCACTACGGACAGTGCAATACTGCAAGGCTTGATGGTTGACTTGAGAGAATGTGCGCAACTGAAAATTTTCCAGATCCTCAGTGAATGATCCGAGAAGTGTCATTGGGTGTCTGACTGACTGTGTGTCTGAATCATGATACAAGTGCAATATCACCGCTAGAGGAAACGCAAAAATGTAACAAGATTACGTAACAAAAGGTGAGAAGGCACTGAACGGAGTGTAAACCGACCGACCTACGAATACAACCTGCATTCTATTAAAAGTGCCACAACGTGCTTTTTCTGCTTACACAAAAAGAGGCTTATGAATACGTATGCAAACCGTCTCAAGGACTTTCAACTGCTGGACATAACGCGCTCAACACAGTACAGAAATGAGAGTCACCATACATACTGAGGCTGTCAGGACGAGATAACAAGTGTAGATACACAGCCGACTTCTTACGAACAACACATTCATCCGCCTCATCTCGCTCTTTCCCATTCGATCCCTCCTCGTCCATCTCATCGTCCTCGTTCAGCTCGACATCCGCACGATCGTCATCACCACGGCACCATCATCCACTTCGTCCTCTTCCTCTTCACCAGTCGTTTCTTTATCCAATTCCTCTTCCATCTTCTCTTCATCCGTCTCATTCTCCGTTTCTATACAGACCACTTGTCTCCCAATTGCAAGATGCTCGTCCCGTGACCGTCATTGTTCCTTCAGATCCGCTTCACTCACTGACACAACATGATACTGCTCGAACCTCCTCCTATTGGTACTGTCCACAACGCGCGGGCCGTTTCTGGCATAAATCTCTGTGGAGTAGTTTGCTGTTGTCCTCCTAGGTCTCTGGATTAAGGGTGTATGTTCCGTGAGATGTCTGCATTGCCTGTCTTGCTGAGTAGGTGCTGCATGTGCAGGGGTAATTTGTGTGAGAGTTGGTGATGCCAGCGCGGGTGTAGGTGGGTCCACCCCAGCCCCCGCCACAAGAAGAGCCGGTGGCAGTTCCGGTGGTGGCAAAGGCAAAGGTTTTGCTGATGGGGTTGGCGACTTGGACGGCCTAGCTCTCCCACACGGCACTTCATTTTGTGTTGGCTCAGTCTGTACCACTGGCAAAGGGGGTTGGGTTCTTGCGCGGTCGACCAAGTTAGTTTTGGCTGCATCCGGTAGAATATTCAGCGACACATGCTGTTTACTTGAACAGCTGACGGCACGTATCAAACAGCATGTGCCGCTGCATTAGTAGTAGTGAGACGTGTATCTCATGATCTGGCATACACTTGTCTGTTCTCACATCAACACTACTTCAGTACACTATAAACACAGTGACTTTGTATGCAGTAGTTCATACTGTGAGTGGCTACTAATACAGATATACAGTATACACTACTGTCTGTAGGTATTCTATTCCTCACTCATAAGGCAAGAGATTCTCGCAGTCAGTGTCACGTAATCGCAACTCTCTTCGCTTGCACTGTTGTAGCATGCAGACCACGTGACAGATATAGACCAAGAGACAACAGATGTTTGACTGATTGAACTACTTCACTCTGTGATATGTTTTCATATTATTTGTGCACATAGAGTTGGCAGCTTCGAGACTATACACGTGACGTCACCACATCAGCCGTTATCATTTTCTCTCTCATCTTAGAAGGTTTAGTTGTTCTTTTCCATAATTTTTGTTATACATGATAGTACATTGTATGTGCTGTTCTCTCGTTCTGCTGGAGTTCATCTTGTTGCTCACTTCCACCTTCACAGACGACTCACCGAAATCTAGCTATTAAATCTGCAACCAACTGTACATTCAAGCGTTATTCCCTATTTTGACACTTCGTGCTTGGACTGATACAGCTCTGGCCTGCCCGTCCTCAAGTGTGCCGCGTCACGACGGTCAATGGAATGAAATGGAATAAATTAGCGTGTCCGCTCCCGAACCTAACTCACGACGGTCGCCAACATCGGGTAAACCTAGCGACAGAAGCGGCGATTATCGGTGGGGGTGAGGGGATAAGTCTCACAACCACTGGCACAATTGCGGAGAAATCACATTAGCCGCATGCATGTGCCCCTTGTGCACAGAACTACGTAGGTAGTTGTACATTTCTGACTCTCCTGACCCGAATCCGCAATTCGTATTTCCACTGGAAAATGTTCGCAAACTTGAACTCGATATTCGTGATGCTGATAGAGACTTCTCGGTACAGTGTGTTGTGTTGTCCATAGCAACAGTTTACATGTACATGGGTGTTTCTAATACCTACTACATTGTATATTGTACAGGATTGTGTGACGTATGGGAATGGGGGGTTGGGGGGTTGGGGGGGGGGGGGGGGGAGGGGAGCAAAGTGATGGTTTAGAGAGGCTGGCGATAGCTGTGGAATAGCCGATCAGTTTCTCCCAGACCATCAGCATATCGATGGAGAAACTACAGTAAAATCTGGTGGAAGTGACCTCTGGGCTTGGCGACCACCTGCTCTTAACGACCATTTTTCCATGCACCGACAGTTCTACACGGACACCGTGGGACCTGGTTCTAAAGACCACCAGGCTTTAACGACCACTTTTGCTTGCACCGTGGGGTGGTCGCTTAAACCAGGTTTTACTGTAGTTGCAGTATGTACCTGGTGGATATCAAAACACAGAGAAGTGTACAGGAGCGAAGAAATCTTGAGTTTCCACTTCAAACTGGTTACTCTAGCACTGTGAAGACTAATATGTGAAGATGAAAGCGAGAAATATACAAGAGGTGACAGGGCATTAGTTGGCAGGAACTACACAAAGTAATGGGGACTACAGACTCTGCCGCCCTACATGTACATGTACATGTACATGAGTGTGTACCGTGAATTCTGTACAATGACTTATGTACATAATTGTACATGTAGGTCGACTGAGCCTGTAACACACAACACCATACACATGTAATATTTTTGAATGGTCCCGGCCTCCTGACACGCACCAGCACCATGCATCAGATATATGTAGTCAAATGAGCACGGAGGAGAGAGCAAATCGAAAGAGCAGAGAAATCAGCAGTGAATGAATGAAGTAGTGTTGTTCGAGGGTAGTATTGATCATAACTACATGTTATCACAGTCCGTTGTTCAGATCCAAGCTGTGTACATCAACCCAGTGAATGTTAGAGACGGGACTACAATACATGATGTATTGACCTACTTTTCAGTATGGTGTGTGATGGTTGAGATGTTCGTGTTGACTACAGACCTTGTGTGTTGTACAGTGACAGTGTAAACCTTGATCGATCTCGACCTGGAGTAGGTCCAGTGTGACTACGACCATGAGCAACGTGTGTGTAAACAACACCAACCTGTACACCAGTATAGCAGCAGTCAACGGAGAACAGGGACTGACCAAGGGATTGCATATCATTCACCATCCACATCACACCATCGCCTGTGAGGACCATGCTGAGAACGCATTTCAAGGAGCTGTCCAAACATACCAGACTTTGACATACGCTTGTCATACATCCGTGCTATGTGTCCAAGCTAGCCTAATCCATTCTCCCTAATGATGCCTGCTACTTTGTAGCAATCTATGTGGTGTGTGTTGGCAGGTATCAGGGTAGTGGAGATGACTTGATGGTGGCACTGCTGCTCTTGCCGTGACTAATGATCATACATGTACTGTAGATACTGGAAATGTAACAGATGTCTTCCCAGTACAACTCTCCACTATATACACTGGAGAGTAGTGAACACTAAATGTGATGTGCACTTGACATCGACAACAAACAGATCATGAGTACAAAGATAGAGGAAACGAACAACGTTTTTCTTTCTGAAACTGAGTGGGTTAGAAATCATCACATCCCGCGCTTCTGCTGCAAGACTCTGAACTTTCTGCATACAAATTGTGTCACGTGCTACACACACAGGTCAATCCATGGCTAGGGACGTTTAAACGGATATACCGGTAGCTGGTTTGTATGTCGGTTTAATAGCGCTATCTGATGTAGCAACCAGCTATGTATGAATGTCAGTCTCAACCAGGTGACAGGAAAAGTACTGGGTGAACAGTATCGTATTCAACACGCAAATGACCCGTTACCTACGCCACGGTAGTCTCAGCTTTCACATACATACGCATACTTGTTACTGAGGCAGACAGGTGTTGAAAATGTATTCGTAAATCCTACTAGATTTGTACTGCTGGGGACAACTACCAAACAAACATAACCTAAAAAAAAGATAACACTCTTGTAGCGACACAATCAGCATACGTTATTGTTACAGTACTTCTGTGATATTTCCACTATTGTCACATTGTCTTGAGTAGCAGACAATTCTCGCCCATCCTACCGATGTTCTGTGGTGACGTTTGAATTTTGTAGCTGTAGGTTATTTCTGTTTGTGTAAATCACACCAGTAGAGAACTTCCCCTATATATAGTCATGTAGTCTTGTAGTCTCTAATTTCACATGTCATCTTCATTCTATATGATGGTCCTGATGACAGAAACGTTTGATCATTCACTTGAAAACGTTCACCACGATATGACTCGCAACCGTGGAGTGATAGCCAGAGTTTGCAAAGGCGCTCCATGGGATGCAGTAAAACTTGCCGCTGGGGTAGTTTATAGCTTTGTAGCAGATCACCATCTCATCACGTGATCTCATTACGGTAATGTCTGCTAACCCGACCGACCGGAGTGTCCTGTGCCAGCTATATACTAGCAAGTAGAGGTATAAATATTACTACTTCATCTCTAGGCTAAGTGGAAACAGAGGAGAATGTTG